AAAAGCTATAGACCCTTTCAGCGCTCCCACGGTCCCCCCACTCCAGCGGCGCGTCGCCTAGCAACGCGATCCAAACAAACCGAGGTGCGCTGGACCACTGCACCGCCCGCCGCCGGGCGGTCCAGCGCGCTGGCTGCGCACCTCGGTTTGTTTGGATCGCGTTGCTAGGCGACGCGCCGCTGGAGCGGGGGGACCGTGGGAGCGCTGAAAGGGTCTATATAAGCGGGCTTATGCCATCGCCCCTGTGTCTGTCCATTTCTCAAGAAAAACGTGTGCCAGAGGTCTGAATTTTTCAGGGTAAGATTGATGTCACTTCTGGACAACAACTACCCCGATTGGGGTGAACGGGGGGTGCCAACCGTGTGTTGAGGTACAAATTTACCCTGAAAATTTGAACTACCTAGCTCAACCCGTTTTCGAGTTATCGTGATTACAGACACAGAACAAACAGAAAGACGCGAAACTTTTTGATCATTACTGGAGTTATGGGCTTCGGTATCGCTCAGCCAACAAGTTGGGTTTTTTGAGATATTTTTCTAAATCTTTTTTTAAACATCTTTTTGCAGATTAGTAAAAGAAAATGAAAATAACCAGAAATTCTTGAAAGGAACCAATGATTTGACTCTAAATTTTTGCAAGGCTCTGTGGATAAGTAGCTTGGAAGAATTTAATGGAGTTTTATCAAAGGCAGAACAGATGCATACTTCAGATGTGTCGCTAGAGAACTCGCTGTCTGACGCCTGGGAAATAACAAAACTTCTTGGTTGCTTTGTCTCATACTCGGTAGAGAAAAGAATACTGACAATTCTTATTGATTTACGATACCGGCTGTCTGCTAATCAAGAGGTTATTGACAACAACCTGAATCTAGAATTATCAGACGATTCTACAGTTACTAGGTGTGACGCGAGAGAAGAACTCATGAAGTGTAATTCCCAGACAAAGAGCACTAGGTGTAGAGACAAAAAACGAGTTCGAGAAAGTTCGACTTCAGACTTTCAAGAGAGTACACCCAAAGAAACAGTGCGTAGTAGTGCAGTGGCGGACCCTAAACAGTATCTGGCCTTCCATACACCTATGATTGACAGCGCACAGTCCTGTCAAAATTCTCTAGATAAACATCCTAAATCGGCTGCCAAGCAGGAATACAACAAAGCTATGAAAACCGGGAAAGGAAAAGTGCCAATTCTTGCTGATGTGAAAGAGAGATGGGCCAGAACGCTTTGTGAGGATCTGAAAATGTTTTGTGCGTCCTGTTTTCCCGGTACCATTGACGACAATGCGATTTTTCGCGGATGTATTGTGCTGCAAGACATACAAGAGGCAAAACGTAGACTGAAGAATACGTATGACGTTCTTCCGTGGGAGGAGGTAGAATTTCTTCTGGCACGCTTTATTTCCTTTAGTGTTTGGCAAACGCAGATGCCCCTGCTTGAAAAGCTGGCACTAGATACAGATAAAATTAGACAGTATCTAGATGAATTTAAGATCGCATTAATGGATGTATTGGAGGATGTAAAACACCTGCGGAAGGAAAATAATTATCCCGCCGCAGAGAAGGAGAAATGGTTGAGAAGGCTTGGAGAGGGTCCAAGAAAAAATATTGAGGTCTGTAAAATAAGTGCTGCGTTTGAAGCAGGTGCACAGCTGTCCTTCTTAGAAAAGTGGAAACATGTGCGCACTGATTACTGTCTGCTACGGGATGTTTTTTCGCTGAGAGAGATTAATCATCACATAAACAATGTGTTTGAGGTTCTTGATTCGGAAAATGAAAATGTTCTTCAGCTTTTACAGCAGAAAGCATATCAGGTCACTGGTGAGCTTGTAAAAAATACGTGGGATAGTCCAAGAATGTCTTTGGATACGGGAGCTGAGATAATGCAAGTGGCCCCTGAATATTTTAGGTCTACATTGAAAAAGGCCCGTGACAAGCTGGCTAGCTATTCTGGACCGGGAACTCCCGTTGACTTTGTTGAAAAAGAATTAGAAAAAGTCCAGATTGCACTCTCCAAAGTACTTAGTCACAGAATTTTTACGGCTCTGCTGCACTATGCTGAAGATAGAGACGTGGATTTTGATGAAGTCATTAAGGAATGGAAAGCCCTGCTGCCTATGCATGAACGAACAACTAGTTTAATCTTAAAGCAGGATCAGCATCTGAAGGAGTTGTTACTTTTAGTAGAGGATGAAGAGCGGGATGCTGCAAAAGACCTTGAAGAAGCGATTGCGGACGACACACATACAGATCTCCTGCACCTAGACAAGGCCATTTACTGGGATATTTTGCTTAATAAATCAGCGGTCAGGACATTGATGAACAAGCTGCAAGACCTAAAGAGGAAGTACTTATCTAGAAGTAGAGTACTGGACACGTTTTCAGAAGTTTCAAAACAAATACGACTAAGAGCTGCCACAAATTTGGTGTTGAGTCAGGTTGTTTTGGAGGCAGGTTCTTTAAAAACAATCAGCTTTCCGTTGGGCCAACCGACTCCGGACAAAAACAAGGAAAACTCGTTTTCTGGGCTGAATCATGACTTGCCAAGAAGTGTCATTGATAGCCTGGTCCTTTCCGGACCAGGAAATGGGGCAGGTAGAGGCGAGGAAATGGACGTTGTTGACAAACTGCACCGGTGGAAGGACTTTAGTTCACCCACTTTGGCAGCCTTGGAACAGTGGGTTCTGTACAAAGCAAATGGCTGGTGTCACGAAGGCAAGAGCAAAGCCCAACAAGTCCGTGCTGTTGTTGAGGTCGCCTCCCCCGTGCTATTCGGCACGCTCTTGAGAAACTACTTGGCACACTCTGGCAACACCCTAATAGACGGTTTTCTTTTCTCGCCGTCACTGGAGATCACAATCCTGGCCGAAAAGCTGGCGTCTGGATTTCGTTCAGAGAGTGGTGCGCACCAGAAGTCATTACCGATTACGAAGGCTAACGAACGCCGAAACTGGCTCAGAAAGCAAGTCATTGAACCAAAGTCTAAGCTGTTTCGGGCAGCGCAGCAAGGGAAGTTAGAGGACGTTAAGAGACACCTCTACCAAGGGATCCCTGCTGCCGTACGGGACTTCCGAGGTCAAACGTTGCTGCACGTCGTGGCAGCAAGTGGCTCGCGGAGAGGGATAGACGTCCTCAGGCTGCTGGTGGATGCGGGCGTCCCCGTGGCTGCTGTTGATCGGATGGGGCGGACCGCCCTGCACGTTGCCACGACGCACGGTGTTGCCCGTCTCCTCCTAGAACACAACAGGACCATCGCCTGTCGACAGGACGGTGATGGCCGTACTCCATTGCACAGCGCGGCGCTTGCTCTGTGGCCAGACCTGGTGCGCCTATTCGTGGATGAGGCCGGCATCGACGTCAATCTGCCAGACAAGGAAGGTCGGACCGCCCTCCATTTAGCCGTGGGCCAGACGGTGAGCCCGGACCTAGCTCAGCGGCTGTCGAAAGTTGTCCAGTTTCTGCTGCAGGAGCGTGGTGCCGACACGGAGGTGCGCTCAAGCGAGCTGCTCCGGACCGCACTCCATGAGGCCGCAGCCTCCGGCAACGAGGACGCAGTCCGCCTGCTGTTGGCTGGCCACGCCGATGTGCTGGCCGCCGACAAGCGCGGCATGACTCCTCTGCTGCTGGCCGCGGCGCGTGGCAGGGCAGGAGTCATCTCTGCCCTTCTGGAATTAGAGGGCACTCGTCAGCTGGCCTCTGTCGCTCGAGGGAAGATGACGGCCTTGCACATCGCTGCGCGCAGCGGTAGCGCTGCCGTAGCCGAAATGCTACTGAAGGCGGCCGAGTCATGGAGTCTGTTGGCGGATGAGCGCCAAAGGACACCGCTACACTATGCCGCAGAGTTTGGACATCTCGAAGTGGTCAATATGTTGCAGGTAACGATATCTGCGGAAGCAGTCTAACCTTACTTAAGCCAAGTCTTTAGATCCAGGGTGGGGTGGGGTGTCGTAACGTAACAAAATTACTGTGAAAAAAGTTTCGTTTTTCGTGGTATGTTACATTGTAACCGGTAACCAGAGACCGAAGACTAACGTTATTTTATTTATAACCGCATAGAATGCTTCGGAAAAAAACGTTATGTTCCTAGTTCTTTTGAAATGTTATTCACGGGTCACTGTTGCCACATAACATCGGGCAGCACAGTTGACAAATTGCATGGAATCCAAAAATCGCAGAGGAAGTACTTGCTAGTCGGATGGAAAAGTCGTGGAGAAGGACAGGGGGGACGTTATCTCCTTCTGGTAAGGATAGTCTTGGACGCTGTCATCAAACCAGACATCGTTTTATGCTTGTGATCTATTTATTTGATAACTGAGCGACGTTTTTCGGAGGTAATTTCACTGACTACGTCTTTAGACGCTTCCTGCACACTTCCAGTACCGCTGTGAACTCCTGTTCTCAAGTAAGTAGCATCCAGAGTAACATAAGTTTAAATATCGCGGATGGGTGAAAAAATTAATGCAAGACGACTCTAGTTTGTCGGCTGCCTCCCCGCCGCAAAATCTCCTAATTTTTGTTTTGTTTTTAAATGCACCCTCAGTTCGACCAGAAACCGCAGGGCAGGGGAGAGAAACGTCAACACCACCTGTTGCATTTTTGCGCCGCGTCTGGGTAAGAGCCCAACAATAAACACCACCAGAAGTGGAAATTCTCTTTAGAATGATACTAATATCACGTTTTAGGTGAAAAAGCGTCTTAAGCGGATTTCCGAAGCGCCAAGCTATGGGTAAAAGCGGTTATCTGCGGGCAGAAGTGAGCTGAGCGTTTTCTCCCAGCCGCAGCGGCACTAAGCGGTTTTACATAGGGGGTATGTCGGTGTTTCTCTCTCCAGGTGCGATGTCACGTTACACGTTTGGTTACGTTACGACGCCCTGATCAGGGGGCAAGGCACAATTTTTTGCAATCATTTTCAGTCAACGCGTGTAAGTGTAGTTTCAGCAGTCAAACGAACAACCTATGTTAATACGTTTCAGCAGAGTATTTAATTCATTTCAATGTGCACTGTGGTGAAAAATCGTCGAATGTTTACGAATAAAAATTCCATGATGTGTATCGTAAAAGCGATACCCTAGACTGAAAGTCACGCATTTCAGCAGCCCGTTTCAAAACTAACGCAGTTCAGCCGCACGCTCCGAAAGACACACAGTTTTCCATTCTAGAGATAGGATCTGCGTTAGTCTTGGAACGGGTGGCTGAACTGCGTGCCTTTCATATTCTTACGTGTCGAAATTACAATTTCAAATAGTTGATGTACACGCACACCTATCGACTTGGGATTGATTAACAAGCAATAATTAGGGATGGACACTTTATGCAAAAAATAATGCCAAATTATGCGGGCAAAATCTGGTCAATTATGCGGCCATTATGCGGGTTAAATAGTGAAAGTATGCGCCAACTATGCGATAAAAATCTGTGAATTTATGCAAATACGTGCAAATATCTGCGAAAAAGACGGAAAAAATGCAAAACAATGCAATAAAACAAATTTATTTATGAAAATTTAGTCTTAATATCCAACATCTAAGATTTAAAATGTACCTTGACGTTTGCCGTAGCCTTCGATTTTGTTAGACAGCGTAAATATATGGTAAAAAGTGAAAAACCGACTGAAAATTTAGATGCTCTTGTCAGATTATGCGCTTAAAATGCGAGTTATGCGGTCATTATGCGAGAAATGCGAGAAACGGCAAATTATGCGTTTTTATGTGACCTAAAAATGAGTTCTTCTAAGCACCCCAAACTCATATCTGTTCATATTTTTTCATTCTGAGCATTTTACAAAATTATGCGTTTTATGCGCTTGCATAAAGTGCCCATCCCTAGCAATAATGGGCTGTCAAAAATTCACAACATTTTAACTAAAAATTACCACAAATACTATAAATTTACAAGTATATTTTTCAGAGTGTTAAAAAAAAAAAACTTCAAAGGGAACTTAAATTTTTGACACTATCCAATTTAAAATGTGCAGTACGGCGCAATTGTGGAATCTGCTGAAAAGTTTGGTAAAGTAATAGCTGTCTTCCGACTACTCTGGCTGATAGGAGGGCGTAGAAGGTAGAAGATCGGGGAACAAGGAGTTCCTAACGCGGTCCAGTCATTCTACAATTGGCAAAATAATCAAATTACGATCATTCCCAATCATTTCCAATCTTTCCAGTCTGTCTACAGTCCCACCAATCAATCATTAATCACCTCTAGTCAGCTGTCATACTGAGCAGCAATCTTCTGAGTGTTGAGGCAAACACTAACTTCATTCCGTGTGTTGGAAAAGTTTCGTGACTTTTACCAAAACCTGTTCTAAAAGATGACAAATCTGCAACATATATTCTGAGTTGTAAATTTCTGAGTAATGATTGTCTGTGTGATGATGCCCTCCCGTTTTTTCATGGACTTTTCTCCGCTCTCCCGCCAGAGCAGACTTTGCAAGGAATTTTACAAAAAGTGCAGTGTGAGTGATCCGCGCAGTCTTTTTTTGATGCTTATATACGGTACCGGATTCAGGCGTTCGGGTGGTCTTGCATACCTTCGCTCGCCATGGCACCTTAAGGCCCCGTTCGAATATGCAACCGGTCCGCGTGCATGAATCCTGTACAGCATGAGCAGAAAAAAAGACGGCGGCGGGGATCACCCACCCTGTATATGTCCCTAACTTGACTAGGATTTCCAGACGCGGTTGCCGAACCAACAAACGCAAGTCGACGATGACGGGCTCACGCCCTTGCACCTCGCTTCGCGGAATGGCCACTCAAATGTGGTAAAAGCCTTGCTGCAGCTGCAGATAAAGTCTCAAAACGCAGGCCCGCCACAGCCTCCGCTGGCAGACGCACCGCCACCACTGATACTCGCGGCTACATATGGGCACCAAGAGACGATCGCCTCTTTCTGCGAGGCTGCTCCTTTAGAAATCCTGCGGTGCAAGGACAACAAAGGCATCACGGCCTTGCATGCGGCCTCAAAGGAGGGCCACACTAGCGTGGTCGAACTTCTTCTGAGGCACGGGGCTTCACCGATGACTAGAGACGACTTGCAGCGCACCAGTTTGCACCACGCATCTATCAAGGGACAGAAGAGCGTCATCCGTGCGCTTCTAAAGCACGTGATCCTTCAATCGGGCCAAAGAGTGGACACAGAAGTAACAAGTAGTAAGTCCTATACCAAGAGTCTCAGACTTTAAGACGCCGCGCTGGCAGCACAACTGGGACCTCTCACTCACACTCAAGGCAATCACATAGCTCAGTCTTTCTCCAGCCGGCCCGCTGCGACCCGCGGACCGTGTGTCTGGCGTCTGAGACCCTTGTCCTTTACTTAAGGTTGTCTGATTACTGAGCAGGGCCCATGCGGAGGGAGAGGGCTCTTTACACATATCGTTACTCTTCTGCTTATTTAATTACCCGTGTTCTAGACTGCCCCAGGGATGCAAAATTTTCTGAGCATTGAACGGCAGAGTTTGATTCTTTGTCGAGAAAATGAGGTGTACGTCCTAGGCTACGCAGGGCCCCGTAACTCATTACTTAACCGCATTTAACGTTATTTTAAGAGTTTGAGTCATAACTTGTAACTTTTAAGTAAAAGTTGTCCAACTTTTTTTTCACATAGTTTGTACGGTTCAAATCGGGAATTTTCGAACGCAACAACTTCAACTTTTAATTGGACATATGTTTTGCTACATTGATTAACTAACATTCGTTCGTGTCATAACAATAAGTTACGGGGCCCTGGTTCAGCAGGGTGAAAATTCCACTTTTTTTCCCATGTGCATTTATATTTTTCAGATGGAATCTGTGTTTTCTGTGGGAATATTTTCGATTGCTACCTGGAATCCAGCTGGGTAAAAAAAAAAATCGATACCTTAGACTAAAAAGCACGCAGCTCATCCGCGCGTTTCGAAGGGCACGCAGTTCAGCCGCCCGTTTCGAAAGACACGCAGTTCAGCCGCGCGTTTCGAAAGACACGCAGTTCCTATCTCTATAGCGGTAAACTGCGTGTCTTTCGAAACGCGCGGCTGAACTGCGAGTCTTTCGAAACGGGCGGCTGAACTGCGTGCCCTTCGAAACGCGCGGATGAGCTGCGTGCCTTTTAGTCTAAGGTATAGAAATGCCGAAAGCATCAACACCACATTGCAGTCTCCGGCACTCTGAGCATCGTCTGCTGATGGCCATCAATGTAGACATTGGTGGCTATGCTCTTGGCACAAGAGGCAGGTGCGCTCTGGCTAAGCGTGCTAAGCGACCGACTCGTGAGCAGGAGGCTGGTGGTTCGACTTCACTCGCCGGCCGGTCCCATTTTCATATTTCCCTTATGGTCCATGATGACGCTCGTCCGAAACTCCTCCAAAAAGCGATCACTATTAGGACGAGTTTCCGACACAGTTTGACGAGTTTCGGACGACTTTGAGACAACCGAAACGGTATCCATACGTCTGAACGTCGTCTTAGGGCAGTCATAAAACCGTACGAAAGTCGTCCGAAAATTTCAGACCAGTTTCGGACGAGTTTGGGTCAATTTTCGGAAATTTTTTCCACACCGGTGACCCCTAAAATACCCTGAAATGTGTAGAACTCTAGCTTATCTCCTTATCATTTTGGTATGTGCTACACTTTGTTGACGTGATTCTGTTTTCCTTACCAACAATGTCTTTTTCCTTAATACAATCAAACAAGATTTCTTTGTGAAAGTCTGTTTTAATAAAACCACAAGAAAAATCACTTAGGCTTCGAGAGTCAAGTTTTAACAGTGGATGTGCTAAAATTGAGCCGGACAATTAAATATAAAAATGAAATTTACGTTTTCTGTAAAGATGTGTTTAACTTTAAAGTTGTTCATTCGAGGGGTGGATAACTCCTGAATTAGGTGTACACATTTCAAGAATTGAATTTGAATTAGCTTGAATTGGCTTGAATTGTATTTGAATTGGACTGAATTCGTTGAATTATTTTTGAATTGGTTTGAATTATTGCGATTTTGTTTTACTGAGTTAGCGTGAATTGACTTGAAATAAATGTAAATTGTCTTGAATTGAACTGAATAACTTGAATTATTTTTGAATTTGTTTGGTCTGAATTACTTTGAATTGGAAAAATAAGGGGCGTACATTTGGCAGGGGAGTTATCCATCCCTCGTCTTCATTCCCCTCAAAAACATTTGTGCTTGTGTTGTGCATTGCTTGTGATGCTGTGTGCAGCTGAGTTAGCTGAGTACGGCGCGTACCGCCGAATTTGCCATACTGGAGGGTTAGTGCACGCCCCCCCCCCTCCCCCCGCCACCCCACCGCTCACTGTATCCTCTTTTGTCCTTCTTGGCACTGCGCTCTTAAGGTTTGTGAGCAGGTGACCTTTCCTTTCAATGTTTTAGGTCCTCACGGTCAACCTGAACGGTGCGCAGCGTGTTCACAAGTGTGGGTTCGTCCAGTCAGCGTGGAGCAGTCCGGTCCAGCTCATCGGGCAAAAAACTCACCAAGTCTTGGATGTGGTAAGCAGGGCTAATATTTTAATTTTGAGAAAGCAAAAGCGGAAAGCAAAAACAAAACCATGAGTGGGTGCTTACCTTGCTCTACTGTCTACGTACGCGAAGCTGTCGCGGATCTGCTAAACACCACTGACAACAACTCAGAGACGGCGATGCACTACGCAGCACGTGGCTATGGCGAGGCTTTGGAAGTACTCCTCAGCCACCGTGGCGCTGACGCGCTGAAGGAGGATTGCAAAGGTCGCACGGCTGCTTCACACGCGATCAAATCTGCCTCCCTGCACACGCTGAAGATTCTGCTCAAATGGGAGTCCAAACGCCGCGAGGCCACGTCGGAGTGGACGGAAGCAACTGGAGGTGAAGAAGTGGGCGGGACTGAAGGCGGAGTTCAAGCAGTCTGTGGAAAAGTAGCGCCGGCCGGAGGTCAAGCTGTGGATAGAAAAAAGGCGGCGGGTGGAAGTCAAGCAGGTTGTGGAAGTGAACGGGCAAGTGGAGGTCAAGCAGCTACTCCTTTCACTCTTGCCCTATGTGGACAGCCTCTCCATCTTGCTGCCTATCTAGGGCGCGTGGACATGATGGAGCTCCTGATTAGTCACGGGGCAGATGTAAATGCCGTGGACGAATGTGGCAGAGACGCTTTGGAAGCAGCAGTCGGTTGGCACCAAGACTCGGCGAGGGCTGTCTCGCTCCTGCTCAAGCACGGCGCAGTGCCTCCCTTTGAGCATAAGCGGGTAGATACGGCCTCCAAGGCCCTTGCTGTAGGGAAAGTGGACGTTGCGGAGCTGCTTCTGAAGCGTTTCCCCGACTTGTGTGACGCCCATAATGTAAAATTAATGCTTTCCTTCGTGGCGGGTCGTGGCCTGATTTCCGAAACAAAGCATCCCACATTGGCAGCTACCCTCAAGGAACTGGATCCGGTCAAACAGACAGATTTGGGCGCACTAATGCTAAAGCAGGCCACTGCGAGGTAAGTCTGATTCGTAGGTATAGTGCTGTCAATAGGGCGGCAGAACCTCACGTTTTGTGAATGCACTCATTTAAAACATTTTGTCTCTACGTCTCTAAATGCAATCCAGCCCTTTTGTGCCTATGTTTTAAAAAAAACTGTGTGTATTCAAATGTCGTCTACCTGCATGTAAAGTTGGCTGTTAAAATAGGACGACTATATTTCAAAAAGCTGGCAAAGAAAAGGTTCGTATTGCAACCGATTTATCCTGCAGCTTGCAAACTGTTTATTTGCAAGACGAACACATAGTTTGCAAGGAATCTGACAGCTTGCCAAGAATTTCTTTGATACAACGTTGCAAAGAAAATAGTTTGCAGGAAAACTAGACAAAAATTAGACCATCTGTTGAGAGCTATAGACGTCTATAGATATGTTCAAATCAACGTTAGACGTCTAGCTTTATCTATAGACGTTATTTTTTTTTTGAGTGGGCGCACATGGAAAGTATGTAACTAAAATAGACATAGATGGAATATGGTCTAATAGACATCTAACTAAGACGTCTAATAGATGATCTACGTGCACACTTTCGTTCCCAAATTTAGACGTCTAGCATGTATCGATAAGTGGTAACCATCATTTTAACGTTATAATATTTTCGTTGTTTAATCTTTTATTTTGTTTTTGTCTTGCTCAAACTATGATCAATAAACCGTTCCAAACCGTGGTTAAATTGTACTTCATTGTTTTTGCAGGGTATGGCCAAAACAGCCAAAGGAAAAGCCTTACCTTATTGATGGCACGACTAATATATCGAGAGAAGACAGAGCGCGTAACAATTTGTGGACTGCAATTATGGCACAAGACATCGATGAGGTGGAACATCATGTCTTGAAGGGAGTCAGGATGGACGTCGTGTTGAAGAAACCTGATGTTACTCCTTTAGACGAAGCGTTATTACAACTTAATTCCGAACTTGCTATTCTTTTGATCCACGCACTAGCTGAGCATCCTGAAATCAATGCAGAAGCAAAGGTAAGGACTGTGTTCATTAGCCAAATATCGAATCAGTTCATCTCGTTTCCAGCTTGCCCTTCGACTAGAAAAGAAAAAAGGCTCTTCAGAATCGCCAGCGAAGGGAAGTAAAGCTACTAACAACTTACAAGGAGACACCCTTAAATCTCAAAACTAAACTGCAAGTTGTAATGAAAGCACGCAACTTCGCACAATTGTTGTCTAGAATAGGCCCGGTCATCGAGGGGTCATGATCACTTTTGCAAGTTCGACATCACCCAGAGAAATGATTAGCTATGGCAACCGTCATACGGTTGGCACCATAAAATACCAACCTTACCTTGTTAGTGAGAACCAAAAAATATGGTTTTCATCACGTTGTCACTGTTGTGTCAACCATATTTTGTGGTGCTCGCTGATCCGAACATTAGATGGTTGCCATTGCTAACCATTTCTCTGGGTGATACGGAAAAATGATGCTCGTCCTACAAAAAAAAAAAATTTGCAAACATTGCAGACAGGGCCGTTTTGACTCAGCTTAAGCAATCGACATTACACACCCGGGTGAAAATTCCGGTCGTAATATTTCCGGCCGTAACTCTTCCGGTCGTATTAGTTCCGTCCGTAACTCTCCTCCGCCCGTAAATTGGAACACTTTCCGGCCGTAGTCCAGACGCCGGCCGGAGGTTGTTACGGCCGGAGAACGTTCCGGCCGGAAGTTGTCCTCCTGGCCGGAGGAAGTTAGAGTGCTCCGTGAGCAGAGTCCAAGGGCGTGTTTAAATACGCGATAAAGATACTTTCCCGGGTAAAATTTCGACGCGGAGCACGATGGTGATGTTTAAATTGCTCTATCTCTAGCCGTTCTCTTAGTAGCCCTATGGTCAAAAAATGAAATATTTTTTTATCTCATGCATAATAACAGTTTGCTATCAACCTGTAACACACGAAGCCATTTCCCCCTGTGACTGTTAGTTTAGGAGTTACAAGTCATTTACGGTTGACCGAAAAACGTACGGCCGGAAAGATTGGCTCCGGTCGTAAACCGTATCGATTACGACCGTAAACCGGAACCCCTCCGACCGTAAAACGCTTGACTACGGTCGGAAACTCTGACTCCGACCGGAAACAATGGGGATACGGTCGGAAATCGTTACAGATTCCGGCCGTAGTGCCAAAATACGGCCGGAGAGAAGGTATACGGTCGGAAATCGTATACATTTACGGCCGGAATGCAACTTTCCGGCCGGAAACCTGGCCGGAATTTTCACCTGGGCAGTCACTTTTTTCCTTATTTCCACGCTTAAAATCGGGGTTTTGATAGTTTTTCCAGGTGCACTAAATGGTGATTACTTCAGCGAGGCATGTGTAAAGCATTCCGAGTTGTGATACTAATGCATCTACTCAAACTAGACCTCCAAAAGGTGCAAATTTACATATTTTAGCAAAATACTTTTTAACTGTATAAATTACGCATCTGAGAGCTATAATAAAAAGGAATTCGGTCTAAATCATAACCACCACCCCCACCCCTTCTTGCCTCCCCCTCCACTCCATCTCTCCTTTCTGCTCCCCACCTCCTCCTCCCACGCAATTAAAGTGGCTGCGACAAGGGCACAAGATAACATCCTTCATTTGATCAGCGCGACGAGTTGAAGCTCCTCCCTCACCCACAATGTAACGTGAATCATCCCTGATATACAGACCATTATTCACGACGACGACTTTGCTGCACCTTGTAGTGCACCTGAAAAAACATCAAAACCTCGATTATTTGAAGCGTGGAAATAAGGAAAAAGTGGCTGTGTAATGTGGGTTGCCTAAGCTGAGTTAAAATGGCCCTGTCGGGACCCGAAAAGTCTATCCGAGAATAATTTTTTTTTTATTTCAATCTTTGCAATTTTTAGCCCCCCTTTCTGCTTTGAAAAAGCTGTCTAGTGGGCGTACCCATAAACGTCCTCGTGTCTGTCTGCTGTCTGTCTCTGTTTGCCTGTTCCACTAGAAGGAGATGTCCTAGCGACTTCAAGTTTTCAGGGTATCTTGAGTTACACTTCTAGAAACTACGGCAAATCCTGGCAATCACCCTTAAGAAGGAATTGTGCACATCGAGAGGAGGAACGTTTCCTACTACTGTGAACATGGAAAAAACGAATCGGATGTCTATCTTAAGGTAGAATTACGTAAATTTTTAACGTAATTTAGGCAAAAGTCATGCTGACCCCGAGGTAACTCATACAACATTTTACTACATTTTATTAAAGTGTATACAGACCTCTGTATAAAGTTTTACCAAATATGATATACATTTATAAAATTTCATTTAAATTTGTATAACGCCGTGTACCTTTTTATTACATTTTATAGTTTTTTAGAAAATTTTAAAAAACTTGCATACGAACCATTTTTACCCGGGGATAGGCCCGCTACCTGCTAAACCAAGTTGCCGGGTGCTACTTCCAAATATGTCACTTGTTTTTGCAAAACTAAAAATGGTTTTTGACCCATATTGAACCATAGATGTTCGTTATTTGCACGTAAAGTACCGTTTTCACCATTTTTCGACCAAAATCAGGCCGTTTCCAACTAATTTTGGGGATCAGGATGCAGAATTTTCAACTGCCTCTACTACGGAGTACCATTTAAAGGGTATTGTGGACAGGTTCGGGGAGGGGAGAGGGAATTTTGCACATTCGAGAGGGGGAACGTTTCCTAGTACTGTGAACCAGGAAAAAACGAATCGGATATATTAAGGTAGAATTACGTACATTTTTTACGTAATTCAGGCAAAAGGCATGGTGACCCCGAGGTTACTCACTCATACAAGTACTGTGCGAAAGCTTTTTCATTTGGTGACGCATTGGTGATAGCGTTATTCCGATCTCAAAATTTGGTTTGTAAATGTTGAACACTTTGAACCGATCATTACACTGGAAATGCAAGTGTGTGAATGTCGCTCACCTGCAGGTGAGCGACATTCACACACTTGCATTTCCAGTGTACCTGAAAACGTACGTCACGCACATCACCGTACCCCACCATTTCCGGAGGTATTTTCAGCGGGCCTCTCAGCATTTGTTTTTTTTTTCTTTTCCTAGATTTCGGGATTTTTTGGGGCTGGTGGCAAACCGTTGACGCCTCTACTCACCGGACCACGCCCTGCTTTGAATAAAACGCCATTGGAATGGGCGGTTGAATTCAAACGCCCTCAAATTGTTCGGTCGCTGTTGAACGTTGGCGTTCCCCCGGAAGGCACACTCGTTGATGGCTCTCTGATCGACTACTGCGCGTGGTCCATGGCCTATGACGTCGTGGCCACTGACATTGCTGACCGTGAAGAAACGATGGACCTCCTTCTTAAAGCTACATCGGTATAGTCCATTCCCTATATTCTGGCAGAGCGGCGAGCAAAGGCTTTCGAGACAATACCATTCAGTCATTGTGTAACCCATCATCAGGGTGTGTTCCGGTGCATTCTAAGGGTTGACCTGCCGATGTAGAGTGTCCACCTGTCCTTCCGACCTACGTGGGGCTCCTCTCTCCAAGACAATGCGCACGCCAAGGCTCGGCTCGGAGAGGTGGCCACTCTAACTTTCGGGTATCGTCCCTTCGACCACGGTGTTTATGAGCCTAACAAAGACGACCGGAAAGCAAAGCCTAGCCGCTCTGCCAGAATATAGGGAATGGAATGGATTTCTACAGGTTCAACTGGCAGGGGGGGGGG